TAGACCAGATAGATTTAATTGATATTTATAAGACATTCCATCCAAAAACAGATTACACTTCCTTCTCAAGTGTGCACAGAACATTCTCCAGGATAGGCCACATCTTGGGTCACAAATCAAGCCTCAGTAAATTTAAGAAAATTGAAATCATATCAAGCATCTTTTCTGACCACAACGCTATGATTAGGAATGAATTACAGGGAAAAAACCGTAAAAAACACAAACACATGGAGGCTAAATAATACATTACTAAATAAACAAGAGATCACTGAAGAAATCAAAGAGGAAATCAAAAAATACATAGAGACAAATGACAATGAAAGCACAATGAATCAAAACATATGGGATGAAGCAAAAGCAGTTCTAAGAGGGAAGTTTATAGTTATACAAGCCTACCTCAAGAAACAAGAAAAATCTCAGTAAACAATCTAACCTTACACCTAAAGGAACTAGAGAAAGAAGAACAAACAAAACCCAAAATTAGCAGAAGGAAAGAAATCATAAAGATCAGAGCAGAAATAAATGAAATACAAACAAAAAAACAATAGCAAAGATCAATAAAACTAAAAGCTGGTTCTTTGAGAAGATAAACAAAATTGATAAACCATTAGCCAGACTCATCGAGAAAAAGAAGGAGAGGACTCAAATCAATAAAAGTAGAAATGAAAAAGGAGAAGGTACTACAGACACCGCAGAAATACAAAGCATCCTAAGAGACTACTACAAGCAACTCTATGCCAATAAAATGGACAACCTGGAAGAAATGGACAAATTCTTAAAAAGGTATAACCTTCCAAGACTGAACCAGGAAGAAACAGAAAATATGAACAGACCAATCACAAGTAATGAAATTGAAACTGTGAATAAAAATCTTCCAACAAACAAAAGTCCAGGACCAGATGGCTTCACAACTGAATTCTATCAAACATTTAGAGAAGAGCTAACACCCATCCTTCTCAAACTCTTCCAAAAAATTGCAGAGGAAGGAACACTCCCAAACTCATTCTATGACCATCACCCTGGTACCAAAACCAAAGACACTACAAAAAAAGAAAATTACAGACCAATATCACTGATGAATATACATGCAAAAATCCTCAACAAAATACCAGCAAACAGAATCCAACAACACATTAAAAGGATCATACACCATGATCAAGTGGGGTTTATCCCAGGGGTGCAAGGATTCAATATATGCAAATCAATCAATGTGATACACTATATTAACAAGTTGAATAAAAAACATATGGTCATCTCAATAGATGCAGAAAAAGCTTTTGAAAAATTCAACACCCATTTATGATAAAAACTCTCCAGAAAGTGGGCATAGACGGAACCTACCTCAACATAATGAAGGCCGTATAGGACAAACCCATAGCAAACATCATTCTCAATGGTGAAAAACCTGAAAGCATTTCCTCTCAGATCAGGAACGAGACAAGGATGTCCACACTCACCACTATTATTCAACATAGTTTTGGAAGTCCTAGCCATGGCAATCAGAGAAGAAAAAGAAATAAAAGGAATACAGATTGGAAAAGAAGTAAAACTGTCACTGTTTGCAGATGACATGATACTACACATAGAGAATCCTAAAAATGCCACCAGAAAACTACTAGAGCTAATCAATGAATTTGGTAAAGTTGCAGGATACAAAATTAATGCACAGAAATCTCTTGCATTCCTATACACTAATGATGAAAAATCTGAAAGAAATTATGGAAACACTCCCATTTACCATTGCAACAAAAAGAATAAAATATCTAGGAATAAACCTACCTAGGGAAAAAAAAGACCTGTATGCAGAAAACTATAAGACACTGATGAAATAAATTAAAGATGATACCAACAGATGGAGAGATACACCATGTTCTTGGATTGGAAGAATCAATATTGTGAAAATGACTACACTACCCAAAGCAATCTACAGATTCAATGCAATTCCTATCAAATTACTAATGGCATTTTTTATGGAACTAGAACAAATCATCTTAAAATTTGTATGGAGACATAAAAGGCCCCGAATAGCCACAGCAGTGTTCAGGGAAAAAAATGGAGCTGGAGGAATCAGACTCCCTGACTTCAGACTATATTACAAAGCTATAGTAATCAAGACAATATTGTACTGGCACATAAACAGAAACATAGATCAATGGAATAAGACAGAAAGCCCAGAGATAAACCCACGCACTTATGGTCAACTAATCTATGAAAATGGAGGCAAGGATATACAATGAAGAAAAGACAGTCTCTTCAATAAGTGGTGCTGGGAAAACTGGACAGCTACATGTGAAAGAATGAAATTAGACTACTACCTAACACCAAACACAAAAGTAAACTCAAAATGGATTTGAGACCTAAATATAAGACCAAACACTCTAAAACTCTTAGAGGAAAACATAGGAAGAACACTCTTTGACATAAATCACAGCAAGATCTTTTTTGACCCACCTCCTAGAGTAATGGAAATAAAACCAAGAATAAACAAATGGGACCTAATGAGAGTTCAAAGCTTTTGCACAGCAAAGGAAACCATAAACAAGACGAAAAGACAACCCTCAGAATGGGAGAAAATATTTGCAAACGAATCAACAGGCAAAGAATTAATCTCCAAAATATATAAACAGCACATGCAGCTCAATATTAAAGAAACGAACAACCCAATCCAGAAATGGGCAGAAGACCTAAATACACATTTCTCTGAAGAAGACATACAGATGGCCAAGAAGCACATGAAAAGCTGCTCAACATCACTGATTATTACAGAAATGCAAATCAAAACTACAATGAGGTATCACCTCACACCAGTTAGAATGGCTATCATCAGAAAATCTACAAACAACAAATGCTGGAGAGGGTGCGGAGAAAAGGGAACCCTCTTGCACTGTTGGTGGTAATGTAAATTCATACAGCCACTATGGAGAACAGTATGGAGGTTCCTTAAAAAACTAAAAATAGAATTGCCATATGACCCAGCAATCCCACTACTGGGCATATACCTAGAGAAAACCATAAATCAAAAAGACACATACACCCCCAATGTTCATTGCAGCACTATTTACAATAGCCAGGTCATGGAAACAACCTAAATGCCCATCGACAGACGAATGGATAAAGAAGATGTGGTACCTATATACAATGGAATATTACTCAGCCATAAAAAAGAATGAAATTGAGTCATTTGTTGCGACGTGGATGGATCTAGAGATTTTCACACAGAGTGAAGTAAGTCAGAAAGAGAAAAACAAATATCATATATTAACGCATGTATGTGGAAGCTAGAAAAATGGTACGGACGAACCAGTTTGCAGGGCACAAGTTGAGACACAGATGTAGAGAACAAACGTACGGACATCAAGGGGGGAAAACCGCGGTGGGGTGCGGATCATGGTGTGCTGAATTGGGCGATTGGGATTGACATGTATACACTGATGTGTATAAAATTGATGACTAATAAGAACTTACAGTATAAACAAACAAACAAACACAAAAGCCTATCTGCCTGTGTTCAAATTCTAGTGCTGCTACTTACTAAGTATAAGAATCTGAGGAAAGTTACTTTACCTAATGCTGTGATCTTCTAATCAGCCTCACAGGATAATAATAACACCTATTTCATAAGATTGTTGTAAGGATTAAAAGGGTTAATGTATGTAAAGTACTTAGAATAGTACATGACACATATTAAGTACTAAATAAGTGTTTAACTACTATTATTATTTGTTTTTAAATTAATTAATTTTATTTATTTTTGGCTGCGTTTAGTCTTCCTTGCTGTGTGCGTGCTTTCTCCAGTTGCAGCGAGCGGGGGTACCCTTCATTGTGGTGCGCGGGCTTCTCATTGCGGCGGCTTCTCTTGTTGCTGAGCACGGGCTCTAGGCACGCGGGCGTCCGTAGTTGTGGCTCGCGGGCTCTAGAGTGCAGGCTCAGTAGTTGCGGCTCACGGGCTTCGTTGCTCCACGGCATGTGGGAACTTCCTGGACCAGGGCTTGAACCCATGTCCGCTGCATTGACAGGCAGATTCTTAACCACTGAGCCACCAGGGAAGCCCTCAACTACTATTATTATCATGTGAAAATAATCAACAAAATATTAAATATCGGTAGACAATTCATATCCCTCTTTTCTGACATAACAAGAAACAGATCCAAAAATAAATAACTAAAAACACAGTAGGAAATCAAGATCACTTTAAACATTGTACAGGACAGGAGATCAAAATGCACAGGCATACAATTGGTTCATTTGAAAAGAACCTGATATTCTGAAAAAAAATTAACGGTGAAAATATTAATTTTTCAGAATGATTACACTCAGTAAAACATCTTTAAACAAGAATAAATTTATTTAATTTCTTTTAAAGATTTAATGACATACAAAATGTATATAGTATAATATCTTTAATACATTTTTTCTTTCTCCCCCCCCATCAATATTAAACACTATTTGAACAGCTTATCTCTTTTTCCCTTGTCTGTATCTATGAGATACACTACTGAATACAAATAAGATTTACACTGCTCCCTCCCAAATAAAAATTAAAATTAGTACCTAGGGGAAAAAAAAAGAAAGAAAAATAGTCAAAGCACAGTACTTCAGACAGATGAAAAGCTTTTCTTGTTGTTGAGTATTCAACAATATCTGGGGCAGTTAAATTACATTTTATTGGCATAAAGTTGCATTGCAATCTCCCAACATCACATAATGATAATCCAATTCAATTTCTTAAGTACCACAAACAATATTCATGTTCAGATGTTCCTACACAATTTTAAATATATGCAAGAATTCATGTTTACATTCTGATTTGATATACTGGTCAATAAAATCTTTTGAGAAGTATGTAACTTCCAAGTTGTAACTATAGTAGATATAGATAAGAAAAAAGCACTTTAACTTTTCTCACAAGGTAACTTCTCTTGGACAGTGAGTTAAGTTTTTCCTTTGATATATTTAGGTTATACCAGTCTACCATGGCTTTCTTCTACTTAACAATATTTAAAAAAAAAAAAAAAAAAAGCACTAATACTTTGCACAATTTGGGCTCTATTTAACGAAAAACACTGGCTCTACCTTTTAAATAGGAGCCTAACCCTGATTCATAAGGTCCCTCTTAGAAAATGGTTTTCTGCTTGGGCTTTCTATATCCCTGTAGATCTAGAATTGTAACAAGTCATCTCCTTTCCCATGAGACGGGAAACAACAAGCATCTAGCTGGGCACTAGTGACATCATCACTGAACACACTGAAACACACTGAGGAAGACACCTGACTGCCATTTAACCAAAAGACTGGGTGATTTCTTCATTTTGCTAGCTGAATGGCAGTAAACCAGCTGCCAATAAAATCTGCACGGACACCTAACTTTGGTTAATGGTATTGCACCACATGAAGAGAGGGTATTACCCTCATCAGAACAAAGTCAAATGAAATCCTCTGTTAAAAAGAGCCCTTTAAAAAGTTATAAATACTAATTTTTTTTTACCTTTAAAATTTAACAGCTGCCAGCTGTATTGTATAGGGAGTTCCCAACTAATTTAATCAGGTCAAAAGAATATTGACCTTTTAAATGTGCCAGTTCAGCATATTCAATTAGCACACGCTTTTCTTTATTACCAAACAGTTCCCTCCTAAATGAAAAGCGACAGTAACATTTTTGTGAGGTGTAGGCAAAACCAATGACTCAGTAATATTATAACATCAGACGAATAGAATTAGTTGATTCTGATTCTTTGGTGGAATTTCCAGGCTGAAGAGTCAAATCAGAAGGCTCATCCTGAGGAAATATAACTTTGTCAGGTGTATAGTCATTCCTCTTCAGATCTATATTCATGACCCCCAACAAAAAAAGAAAAAAAGAGTATTGCTTAGAAACAAAAAATTAAGAACATTTTCTAAATCAATTTCCCTCTAAACATGCCAGATCTATTTTCTACAAGGTTGTTATAAATTCAAAAGTCACAAAATTTATACACATAAAAATGAAATCATTCAACAAATAATTATTACACTCTGACCATGAGTCAGTAACTCATGTAAGTGTAGAAATGCAGCAGTGAACAAGGCAGGTAAGGTCCCTGTTCTCATGGAGCTTATATTCTTGTAGGTGAAGAAAAACAAATAGAAAAATGACAATTATAAGTAGTAGCAAGTGCTTTGAAGAAAATAGTGTGATGAGAGTCAGGTGGGAGACGGTATGAGGTGATTCTTTTAGATAGGGCTCGGCAGAAAAGCCACAGGAGGTAACATATAAGACCTGAATACTAAGAAATGACCTATCAAAGTCCCAGGAAGAGTACTCTATGCAGAGAAAGTTAACTGCAGACTGCAAAAAGGAAATGGACTTGGTGTGTTCCAAGAATGGCAAGAAGCAGCATGGCTTGCATGTAGTGAATGAGGGAAAGACTAGGAGAAAATGAGGTCAAACAATCATTAACGGTCAGCAGTTGTCAGACTACAGCCTGTGCACCAAATCTGGCCTACTTGTTTTTGTAAATAGTTTTACTGGAATGCAACCATAGAAAATTTGTTTACAGATTGTCTATGGCTGTTTTTGTACTACAATGGGAGAGTTGGGTAGCTGTGACACAGGCCATATGGCCCACAAAGCCTAAAATGTATACTTCCTTTGTTTGCCTTTTACAGAAAAGTTTGCTGACCTCTGATTCATGGTTTGCAAACTAAGTATAGATTATGGTGAAAACCCACTGGAAGGTATTAAGAAGTCTTAAGGGAGGAATGTAATCAAATTTGTTTAAAATGACCATTCCAATCGTCACATGAAGTCTTGTTAGAGGGTTACTGGTAAGAATCCAGGAAACAAAATGGTGGCAATGACGATGAAGAGAAATTGATAAATTCTAGGGAGATTTCAGAATTTGAGAAGACAGAATTTGACAGATTGGTTATGAAAAGTAAGAGAACAGGGCTTCCCTGGTGGCGCAGTGGTTGAGAGTCCGCCTGCCAATGCAGGGGGCGTGGGTTCGCATCCCGGTCCGGGAGGATCCCACGTGCCACGGAGTGGCTGGGCCCGTGAGCTGTGGCCGCTGGGCCTGCGCGTCCGGAGCCTGTGCTCCGCGGCGGGAGAGACTGCGACAGTGAGAGGCCCGCATACCGCAAAAAAACAAAAAAAACAAACAAAAAGTAAGAGAACAAAGGAACTGGCTAGCTTTTAGGTTTTGAGCCTGAGCAACTGGGTAACCATTAATGAGACAAGGAAGCAGAATTTCGTGGGTAGGGGTGGAAAATGAAAGTCAAGAGTTCTGGAGTGAAAGTGTTACTTAAAAGTAATTCAAGTAGCAATGTAGGAAACTCAATATAGAAACAGGAGCTCAGGAAAGAAGTTAGTCTTCAGTTAAATTTGGTACTATCAAGATGTAGACTGCCTTTATAGCTATGGGATAGGATGAACTCAGGGAGTAATAGACATATATGACAATGGTTGCAGAGCTGGAAAACAATGCAGTAGTATCAAATTTATACTTTATAAACAAACCATAGTTGTGCATATACCCTTATACTTTTATCTCCATGTAAAATAGAACTAACACTCAGAATATGAACTGTTAATTTTAATTTCAGTAATAGTCTATATTCAATGATCCAAATACATATTTGCTACAGTATGAACAATTTTTTTTTTTTGCGATATGCGGGCCTCTCACTGTTGTGGCCTCTCCTGTTGCGGAGCACAGGCTCCGGACGCGCAGGCTCAGCGGCCGTGGCTCACGGGCCCAGCCGCTCCGCGGCATGTGGGATCTTCCCGGACTGGGGCACGAACCCGTGTCCCCTGCATCGGCAGGCGGACTCTCAACCACTGCGCGACCAGGGAAGCCCCAGTATGAACAATTTTTGATAAACTTTAAATTCAAGACTTTGCCAGTAAGGCCTTAGGGAATGCAAATTAATTTGTAGCTGAAGTGTACACAAAGAACAATGGACAGAAACACAATTATAATTCAAACACAATTATAATTCAATTCACAATTATAATGCTGTTAACTAATGGTGTAACCATGGGCAAATCATGTAAACTCTTATTTTATGTTCTGTAAAACGATGGACTTGGACTGGGTTGCTTTTAAGGTCCCTTCCAAGCTGTAAAATCCTTTAAATGACAATTTAAAAAACAGATATGCTATTAAATATTGCATTGTATCAAAACCAAATAAAAATTATATCTGGGCTGCCTGTTAAATTCATCATTGTGTGTTCTACTTCTGGCTTAAATGGACTAAGCATATTCCATCCTCTCTCTCTCTCACTGATTACAAATAAAAACTGATTACAAGTAAAAACATGATACATAAAGCAACTATCTCAGATTTCTGAAAAGTAACAGCAGACATATAGGAGAAGGAAATCAGAACTTGAAGAACGATTTATATGGTGGTGAGCTTCCTGTTTTTTTCCCATCTCTTATTTCTGGGCTTAGACTTGAAAATAGCTCAATCACAGAAACATAGAGTGAGCATGGACACAAAAAGCTCCAAGACCTTCTGGCCACAGGATAAGGAAGGAGGACCCTGTGGGATGGAAAATGTTGAGGGAAATTCCCTCTTTTTAATTATTCTTTTTGCTCTTCTGCCCTTTACCTAAGCCCTGGTCATGAAGAGGCATTCCTACAGTGGTGGCAGTTGGGCAAGAACCTACAACTCCAAGAGAAAACCCTTCTCTCTGACCAGAAGAACTGAGAATAGGTACCTCTATGATCCAAAAAGTATTATTTTCAGCACCAGAAACAGACCTAATTGCAGAATGTGTGTGACAGCACAGGGATGCCAAAATCCTGGCTTTCTAGTCAGTGTACCAAAAAAAGAAAGGAAAGAAGAGGCCCCCGGGAGTCACAAAGTATGGAAGAAATCATGGAGAGGAGGAAAATGGAGAGAGAGAGACCCTAAATTTATGTATGAAATCCCAGACTCAGGCTTGAGTGGCACATATATGGAAAGACGGCATAGCATAGGCTTTGAGAACTAAACTATGGTGCAGACCTTCACTTGTGTCCCAGACTTGCCCTTGTTTGACACACATGTGAGAGAGACCTGATTAATAATGCAAAGGCTTTAAAAACTAAACTGACAGTAGAGGGACAGCCACACAGAAAACAGACTGGGACTTGTGAACTGAATTTAACTGAGTTGGTTGCCTACTAACACCAAAAACCTCAAGGATTCAAAATTCAAAATTCTCTATAGAGGATTTTTAATAAGACCTCAAAAATCTTATAACATAATATTCAAAATATCCAGGACACATTCTAAAATTACTAGAGATACAACAAACAGGAACATTTCAAAGATTCTCAAAGAAAAAGACAACCAAGAGAAGCCAATCCCAAGGTTACTCAGATGGTAGAATAATTAAAAGACTTTAAACTACTAGAACCATACTCCATGACGCAGGACAAACAGACTTGAAATGAAAGGAAAAATAAGTTTTCAGCAGAGAAATAATCGGTATAAAAAGACCAACAGGAAATTATAGTACTGAAAAATATAACTGAAATAAAAAATTCAGTGTATGAGCTTAATAGCAGAATGAAGAAATAAAGAATGAGTCAGTGAATTTGTGTGTAGATCAATAGAAATTATCCAATCTGAACTAAAGAAAAAAATTAATTTTTAAGGAAGTAATCAGAGCCACAGGTTCCTGGGTGACAATATCAAAAGGTCTAACATTCTTTTTATGAGAGTCCAGAAAGAGAAGAGATTGATGCAGACAAACATTTGATGAACTAATAGCTAAAAACTCCCCAAATGTGATAAAAGTCATAAATTGGCAAATTCAAGAAGCTTAGTAAAACTGAAACAGGATAAACTCAGAGCAAGCTACAACTAGACATAACTGCTAACTACAGTTAACATAACCACAGAATCAAACTACTCAAAACCAAAAATAAAGAGTAAATCTTGAAAGAAGATAGATTATAATGATACATCATGTATAAGGGAAGAACAATTCAAATGACTGGAGTTTTCATCATAAATAACAGAGGCTAGAAGACAGAAGAACATTTTTTAAGTGCTGAAAGAAAGAAATGTCAACCTAAAATTCTAGATCCAGTGAAAATACCCTTCAGGAATGAAAGCGAAATACATTCTTAGGTAAGGGGAACTAAGATCAACCACTAAAAAAACTAAACATAAAGATAAAACAGAATACTAAAACAGAGCGAGGGCTGTGGGGTGTGGGGTGGAGAAAACAACAAAAAAACCAAACCAGAGACATCAAACAGAAAACAATAAAACAGCAGATCAAAATCTAACCATATCAATAATTACATTAAATGTAAAGGGTCTAAAACAGCTATTATAAGATGGAAATGGTTAGATTTTAAAAAACAAATTAAACCTAGGAACTAACTGTATGCTGTCTACAAGAAAACCACTTTAAATAGAATTAATATATACAGGTAAAAAGAATGGGAAAAGATACCTGATGAAACCACTAATCACAAGCTATGTTAATATCAGACAAAGCAGACTTTAGAAGAATGAGAATTACCATGGCATTAATTTAATAAAAATTAAATCACCAAGAAGTCATAACAACTGTAAATCTGTATGTATCTAAGAGCAAAGCTTCAAAATACATGCAGGAAAAATTGATAGAACTGAAAGCAAAGCAGATAAATCAACAATTATACTTAGAGACCTTTCTTCTAAGTAATAAATAGAATAAATAGACAGAAAATCAGCAAGGATATTAAAAACCAGAACAACACTATCAAAAAATTTTCCTTCATTGGGACTTCCCTGGTGGCCCAGTGGTTAAGAATCCGCCTGACAATGCAAGGGACATGGGTTTGAGCCCTGGTCTGAGAAGATCCCACAGGCCGCAGAGCAACTAAGCCCGTGTACCACCACTGCTGAATCTGCGCTCTAGAGCCTGTGAGCTACAACTACTGAGCCTGCGTGCTGCAACTACTGAAGCCCACGCACCTAGAGCCCCTGCTCTACAACAAGAGAAGCCACCACAATGAGAAGCCCGCACACCGCAATTTAGAGTAGCCCCCACTCGCCACAACTAGAGAAAGCCCATGCATAGCAATGAAGACCCAATGCAGCCAAAAATAAACAAAAAAGATACCTGTAATTAATCCATAGATCAAAGAAGAAATCTCAAAGGAAATAAGAAATATTTAAAAAAGAAAAACAAAACTAAAACATACCAAAAAAAATTTTTTTAAATACCAAAATTTGTGGGATGCAGCTAACACAATGCTTAGACGAAAATTTACAGCACTAAAATGTTTTGTTAGAGAAAAAGTCTCAAATGAATATTTTAAATTTTTACCCTAACAAACTAGAGAAAAAGCAAACTAAACCCAAAGCAATCAGAAACATGGAAATAATAGAATAAGTCAATGAAACTGACAACAGAAAATAGAGTAAAACAATGAAAACAAAAAGTGGTTCTTTGAAAGTATCAATAAAACTGATACACCTTAGCCAAACTGACCAAAAAAACAAAAAGCACAAATTACCCTAATGAAAGATGGGATTCACCACAGACACCCCCACAGACATTAAAAAAAATAAGATAGTAGTATCATTGACTCTATGTCCATAAGTTTGACAATTTAAATAAAATGAAGACAAATATTGTATGATCTCACTTATACATGGAACCTAAAAAAACAAACAAACTCACAGAAACAGATGACTTGTGGTTACCAGAGGTAGAGGGGTGAGGGGAGGGAGAACTGGAGGAAGGTGGTCAAAAGGTACAAATTTCCGGGCTTCCCTGGTGGCGCAGTGGTTGAGAGTCCGCCTGCTGATGCAGGGGACACGGGTTCGTGCCCCGGTCTGGGAAGATCCCACATGCCACGGAGCGGCTGGGCCCGTGAGCCATGGCCACTGAGCCTGCGCGTCTGGAGCCTGTGCTCCGCAACGGGAGAGGCCACAACAGTGAGAGGCCCACGTACCGCAAAAAAAAAAAAAGGTACAAACTTCCCATTATAAGATAAATAAGTACTACGGATGTAATGTACAACATGGTGACTACAGCTAACACTGTTGTATGATATACAGGAAAGCTGTTAAGAGAGTAAATACTAAGAGTTGTCGTGGGGAAAAACATTTTTTTTCTTTCTTTTTATTCTATCTATACAAGAAGATGGATGTTAGCTTAATCTAGTGTGGTAATCATTTCATAATATATGTAAATCAAACCATCATGCTATCCACTCTAAACTTATAGATATGTATATCAATTATTTCTCAATGAAAGTGGAAAAAAACAATAAAATGGACCAATTCCCCGAAAGACACAAACTACTAAAACTCACTCAAGAAACTGACATCTATTTTAAAAAACTAAAAATTAAAAAGCATCTGACAAAACTTCAGACTGAGATGGTTTTGCTAGACAATTCTATCAAACATTTGAAGTTGGGATAATATCAATTCTATACAATCTATTCCCCAAAACAAAAGAGGTATAAACACTTAAAACTTATTTTTAAGGTCAGTATTATCCTGACACCAAACAAGACAAAGACAGTACAAGGAAAAAAACCCCATAGACCAATATTCTTCATGAACATAGATATAAAAATCATCAACAAATATTAGAAAATTGAACCCAACAACACATAAAAAAGATAATATACCGTGACAGGGACTTCCCTGGTGGCGAAGTGGTGAAGACTCTGCACTCCCAATGCAGGGGACCCGGGTTCAATCCCTGGTCAGGGAACTAGATCCCACATGCATGCTGCAACTAAGAGTTCACATGCCAAAACTAAGGAGCCCATGAGCTGCAACTAAGAAGCCCGCCTGCCACAACAAAGACCCAGCACAACAACAACAACAAAAATATATATATGTTATAATAATACAATAAATAATATATTATATATAATAATACTATATATATAAAATATACCATGACAAAGTGGAGTTTGTCCTCAGAATACAAGACTGGCTCAACGTTTAAAAAGTCAATCAATGTAATTCGATGTAATACTAACCAGTTGAAGAAAAACCAAATGATCATACAAATAGATGCAGAAAAGACATCTGACAAATTCAGTGAACATTCAGGATAAGTGTCTTCAAGAAATGAGGCATGGAAGATGTCCACTCTCACTACTCCTATTCAACATTGTACTTGAATTCCTTGCCATTACAAAAAGTCAAGAAAAAGAAATAAAAGCCATACAGATTGGAAAGGAAGTAATAAAACTGTCTCTATTGTCTACCCAGAAAATTCCAAGGAATTTACAAACAATAAACAAGAACCAAACAAACAAAAACCTCCTAGAACTAAGTGAGTTTAGCAAGAACACAGAATACAAGGTCAATATACAAAAATAAATAATTTCTGTATCTATTAATAATGAACAATTTTTAAAAATTTACAGATAGTAGTATTAACATGCTTACTATGTGCCTGTCACTGTTCTAAGTACGTCACAAATACCAACTAATTTAATCCTCAAACAAACAAAAAACAACAAACCTCTATGATGTAGGTATTCTCTGAGGCCCTGGAGTCTGGCTCCCAGGTCCAAGCTCTTAACTACTACTATATTATTGGTCATAATGAGAGGGACTTTTAAAAATACAGCTCAAGGGTGAGTGCCAGGCACCTGTAATTTTGAAAAAGTTCCACAGGGGATTCTGACACACACCAAAGGGTGAGAACAACTGGTTTGTGATATAACTTATGATTCAATAATAACTTGTAATTCTTCGAATATAAGATGAAGTTACTATCGTGAGAGACTGTACCTTCAGTTCCTCTTCCAGTTTCACAGAATACTCTTTTCCCAACTCTTTTCCAGGCTAACTTGAAAGTCTATTCATCCTTCAGTTTTAGGCAAATCTGTTAGTTCCCCAGGTAGCATTCCCTGACTTCTAAGTTTGTGTTAGGTGATCTGCTTACCTGTTCTATTTTTTCTGCTTGGCATTTATGATAGTCCTATAATTCTCTGTTAATCTTGTCAGTATCCAAGACCTGGCTAAACTCCACCAAGTGCAGGGACCATGTTTGTCTTGTTCACTGTGCATTGCTAATATCTAACACAATTCCTGGCATCCAGCAGACACATAATAAATATGTATTAAGTGAATGGACTTTGTGTTTTTATAAGTAATGAATGAAAGCATAGATCCATTTATAACCAAAAATACGTATTTATGCTTCTGGCCTTATGAAGTTCTGTAGTAATTAACTTTGCTAACAATTTATATATTATACTGATTAAGAAAATGCTTACCTGGAAGTTTAAGCTTTCTACAGCAAGAATTACAGTGATGTTTTGCTCTGAAGTTTTTTATTGCATCTTCTCCTAGGTTTGCTGGGCCAAAAACCATATCACAGGATCTGTGGAATTGGTAGTTAAAAGAAAAAGTCAGTTAATGAAAATAGAAATGTAGAATTTGAAATTACAAAAATGTCTTAATGAAATTATTAAAACTTATTACCTCTTTTCTTCTGCCTTTATCACAGATGGGTCAGTCAAATTTTCACCCACACCTTTATATGTATATATTAAAAAGACAATTTTATTATATAATTGAAATAAATACATAAGTATAATAAAAAGTCACAAGAGATTCTATAGCATCATCAACCATTACACGATGTTAAATTATTCAAAAGAGGATAGTTTTTCACTCTTGATATTTCATAACTTGACTTATGACCTCAACATTGCACTAGGAACAAACACAGTTCCTTTGACATGAACAACAGTTAAATGTCAGAATAGGTAGGTAGGCATGTAATCTCCTGGTGACACCAGTTTCTGATGCAACAAGGCCAAGCTGGAAGTAAATATCTCCTTATTTACAATTTGCCTTGTTTCAGCTTAGTTAGCAAAGAACAATTAGGTACATGAAGGCATGATCTATAGGTCATTTTACAAGTCTTTTGGATTTTTTAAAATCACAGGCTAACATATAAATACATTTTCTTGCAAAAGATTTAGATTACATAAAGAGTAAGATTGTGAACATCTTCCTTCACCTCCAGCCCTGTCCAGAGGTGTTAAAAGTGTGGTTAAATCTTTTCAGTCTCATCTATTCATTCATATAAAGAACTACTGATATTTGAATAATCATAAAATATTTAACCCATTAGAATGAAACCTAATAAAATGGGTAGAATTTCACAATAGGAAAAGCTAGAATTAAAACATGAGTCTAATTTTCTACTCAGATTGGCAAAGATTAAGTAAATATTCAGTAATGAAGAGATGGCGAAGAAATGGGCACAGTGATGAGTGCTCACAGTGCTGAGTATGAATTCACATAACCTTTTGGAAAAGTAACCTGGCCGTTGCTATTGAAATTGTACTCATCTCTAAAACTAAAAATTGGGTGACTGTCTCATAATAGAGGATGTAAATCATGCTATGCCTCCATACTACAGCTGTTAAAAGGAATGCCTCAGATTTATCAATAATGATCCAGAAGACGGCCATCATGTATTATTAGGTAGAAAAAAAAAAAAGTGAAATACACACACACACATACATATATATAGCATGATCCCAGCTGGAGGAAAATCACAACACAAAATGATTAAAAGTAAGTTTTAAAATTTGTAATTTGTCTTCACAAAGGTAGAGGAACAGTAAAGATGGGAACATTTTGTTCTTTATATATTTCTATGCTGTTTAACTTGTTTATAGTAACTGTCTAAAATATTTCTATGAAAAAAATGGCTCCATGAACACATTAATTTTGTAGAGAACATCACTATTACTCTGCTTATTAAAAATAACTGCCATCTTTTAATTAACAGTTTGGCCTCACTTCCTAGGCATATTTGAAGATGGACTGGCCCGTCTAATAATATACATCAGAAATTTCACTATATATATCACTTAATCATTTATGTAAAATGATGAATTTACTAAAAAAAGGACAGCTATTTTTACACAGATTTTCTTTCTTGAGTTGGTATTGAAAATCAATACCAACTGTTTGCTTTTCAACAAATTGTTTATATTTGGGAGTATCTATATAATGAGAGAAGTCATCAAGTGATAAATATTCTAAACAATTGTTTTGATGTGATTTGAAATCTGGTCTATGTTGACATTTGAAATTAAAGCTGCTCTTTAGGGGCAAAAAAAAAATGGAACCTATAATGTGAAAGTGTCATCCAGGCAGAGCTGGCAATTTGCTCAATTTCATTTTTCTTTGACCCTGCTGTGAAGCTGCATAAATATTACTCTAAGCAAATCACTGCTCTCTCCTAGTCATAATTTCTTTTTTTTCTCCCTTTTACATGTATGAAGGAATCTGTCTACAAAGATGGCTATGCTCAGTTTTCCCCTCCTTGTATACATGCTGCTCTACCTTCCAAGTGCTTGAATCTATTCCCTACCTCTTGAATCTGAGCTGTCCTTATAACTTACCTTGACCAGTAAAATGTGGCAGAAGGGATGTGGGCACATTCTGGTCCTAACCTAAGAGTTTCTGCTTTCTCTCTGGAGGAAGCCAGCTGTCATGTAAGAAGTCTAATTACCTGAAACTACCATGCTACAAAAAGTCCAAGCTACCCAGCCATGTGGAAAAATCACTTTGTGGTGAACTGAGGAATTCAGCTGTCTTGAACAGAGACCTAAGACATTTGGCTCCAGTCAAGCTGTCCAAACTAGTCTCCAGCCATTCAAACCCTCCAAGGGGACAGCAGAGATGAGCCATCCCCAAATTCCTTAACCAATGAAGTGTAAGCAAGCAAAATGGTTGTTTTAATCCACTATTAGGTAGTTTAGTTCACAGTAATAGATAACATAAACACCAGGAACAATACAGATAGTTGTTATTGTTTTAAAGAAATGGTCTTTATACTTTTAAAGAAATTAAGGCTACAGACCTATGAGTGGAATAGGGGATTTCACATGTTTTTGCTTATTAAAACATCTGTATTACCTAAATAACAATTAAGATAGCATCCCACTCTTCAGGGCCCTGATAGCTATATACTACGGCTGTTATTGACTTGCTTTTTTAACAGCTTCTGCTGACCTAAGATTTTACCTATCCATAAATTAGCAGATTTCTGTATATTGCTCATAACACATGAATAGATGAGAACCTAATGCATAATTCCCTTTTAGCAATATTTTAATAAATTTACCTTGTAAATCAAGTACCAGTAACTCCCCTCTTGTATATTCATAAGTCCAATGGCTAAAGGCTAGCATGATCTCTTCCAGTGTATTTGTTGGAATAATCTCATCACCATTATTGTTGTTGTATTTTCTAAATTCTCCAGTCATACATTCTTCCACAGCGAACCACTGTCCTGCTGAATGGCAATACAGCAGGAAAACTTCAAGGAACCTTATGAAAAACAGTTATAGATATTACTAGTAGTTTTTTTTAATGATAAACAACCAAATGACAATTTTTATTGATTTAATCTTAACCAATACACAATCTATGCCATATATAATTCTTTCAGCTCTGCAACCACCTACACTTATTCACATTTTTCAACTCAAGTTCAGTGCCCTCAGAAAGGTTCCTGCTCAATTTAGTCATTTTATCCTATACTAGTAGTTTTCTTAATAAAATTCTAATCCATCTTTAAAATGGGTAACTAATGAAATATTCAGCATCAATAATGAAGGTCAAAAGAGAATGCTATCCACATAACACTAAAAGATCTCAAAAATTTTTAAAGATTTACCTTGGAGAATATGGTATGGATTTGGGTTTCATTTGGTTGAAGGCAAATGTGAGCTTTTGTGCTGCTCTCTGTTGTTGAATTTCCTACAGAACAGAAAAAAGAAACCCTCGTTCAACACTGAAATTAAGATTATTTGATTTATCATACTTTAGAAGTGAAAACATGAAGCTCAAATAATGCTTCACTGTATGCATTCACTAGCACTTACTCTAAGACAAAGATGCAGAACTGTATCTTCTTTATAAATACTTGACCATGTATTAACCACCTCAGGAAGAAAAGATTTGATAATATAAAGATGTCCTGATTTGAGGATATCATGTTCTGACCAAGTACACTGTACTTTGACAGCTCTTCGTAAACCTCCTCCCATCTCCTCTTTACTTAAAAACTCTATTTTGGCACAGAGGCCTAGCTGTGACCACGAAGACATGCTGTTATTCAGTATGTTGGGAGAACTCTCTTCCAAGCGATACACTGTGACAGGCTCACCTGCAACATGAATAGACATATTTTAAGGTCAAAGTATGACTCTGAAAATCACAAGGTAGAAATTGGCAGGTATCTTTGGTTAAGATTAAGTGAGGAATAGAATATGAGATGGACCAAGTTGTAGTTTTATAAAAGAAGTTTAAGGGCAAGAAATACTCAGAAACCAAGGATCTAATATCTCTAAATTCACCTGTATTTAGTAATAATAAGCATTTTTGAAATCGTGAACATTTTCGAGAAAAACTTTTAGAAAGCAATTAGACGTCTAAACACTTTTAAGCTAAACTTTTTAACAGGAGGTTAGATCTGTTCCACAAACCCTGTGATATCAATATATTAACGCTTTCATTGCTAAACTACGGATCAAGAGCTTTTCTGAATTAAAATACACCACTGTTTCCGATATGCCAGAAAGAGAGAAAATCAATACTTCTGATGCTTCCTTCAGTTTAAACATACCTGAATCTTGTAGTAATCAGACTGATTAAAATTTATATGAAATTAACAATTCTTAATGTGATCCTTCCTCTTTCTGTCACCACCCATGTTCTATATTACAGTTAAAACCACATGTTAATTAAGGGTTTATTTTCCCTCTTATTTCTTTACTTTTTGGATTTACCTCTTGGAGGCACAGGTGTAAATGGAATGCTCTGGGATAATCTCATCAAGTTATTTCTTTCCACAGCTGCATAAAAATGAGAGAGAAATAATGAAATCCCCAAAAGCTCAAAGAACTACTCAATTTTGTTTTTAAAATTTACTATTACTAACCTGAGTAATAGTAATTTGTATCCATAACTGGTTTAAATGGAGAAGCAAGACCTAAAATGGTAAATAAACAAATGAGACCCTTTTAAAAGTACTAATGCAGCATAAATTTTTGTTCAAGCATTCTCATTTAATCATCCCAAGTTTCCTTCATGTAAGCTCTGTTCACAAAAACAGAAAAAAACATGTAATAAATTATGTCCATCATGTGCTTT